ATTCTGAATGAAACAGATCGAGACTGCCACCAGATAACTATCTAATCCACACAACTGGCGAAGCCATGTGAATTGACCCCCAATGCACACCACACACACACACACACACACACACACACACACACACACACACACACACACACACACACCACACACATAAACACACATACCCCTACCCCCCCCCCCCCCCACACACACACACACTGACATAGCAAGCAGCTACTTTAATCAATGTAGCATTAATCACTGACTTTACCTGTGGTGTACGCCGAATAGGTGTTGTATCACTTCTCCCTCTCTGACGAACTTGCAAACTGGGTGTCCTGATCAATAGGCTCGGTCGCTCTTCGTCAGGAGGTCCAACGATATGTTTACTTGAACCGGTGGCCGCCTGCTCGGCAGGAAATATTCGTTTTCGGTCCTGGTACCTGCCGTAATTAATCAAAACACCACAGAGGGTATCGATTTAGGACTGGCGCTATGCCAGTAGCTGGAAGTCACCCACAGTGTGATCCAGGTGTACGTAAAGTGATTATACTAGTTTCATAGTGAGGGCTGCATGGAGGTTGTGCCAATGACGAGTTGTGATAGTTTACCGTGAGTAAACTCTGGCCTCTGTTTTCTTTCCCTCAGTCTTCGTTTTTAGGCTGGGTGACGCAAATGTACCATTATTGAAGAAATAATACCCTCTCTTAAATAGTGCCCGCTCTAGGAGTGCCCGCTCTTGAATAGTACCCTCTCTTGAATACCGTAAGACATGTAAATATAGCGAGGAAGTAAATCTAACGTTTTAATGGGTGACATTTCTTCGTTATAATAAGTTCTGTTGAGGCTGTAAGGCCACATATGTGATATATGCGGATATGCCTGAAGACTGCAAAATCGTTATCGAATGTTCTCCTTAACCTATGAATTTTGGACAATCGTAAAATTTGGGACTCGTTATAATAACATGTCTTACAGTAGTGCCCTCTCTTGAATAGTGCCCCATCTGTAAATGGACTTTGGAAATAGTGCCCCATCTGTAAATGGACTTTGGAAATAGTGCCCCATCTGTAAATGGACTTTGGAAATAGTGCCCCATCTGTAAATGGACTTTGGAAATAGTGCCCCATCTGTAAATGGACTTTGGAAATAGTGCCCCATCTGTAAATGGACTTTGGAAATAGTGCCCCATCTGTAAATGGACTTTGGAAATAGTGCCCCATCTGTAAATGGACTTTGGAAATAGTGCCCCAGGGCCAGGGGCACTAATCGCGTGAGTATGGCAATAACTTGATAATCACTGTCACTGCAATGCATGCTACATTATGCTAAGCTAAATGGACAATGTACATGTATTACCGTTGGATTTTTCCCGCTATTGAGGCTGCCATCACGTCACCTCCAGTTGTTGTTGTTGCTGTTGTTGGTCCAGCAGCAACCAGGACTTGCTCCGGGTGCGAGTGGTCGTACTCCACTCTACCATACTCTAGCTAAGCAGTACCGCGCGTGGCATTCGCGACTGGACAAGGACTTGAAGGCGGCTAGTTGCGTACCTGGCTTCCGATTGCCTGGGCGCACATGAAAACAAAGCAACAACAACTGCGACTGTGTACTTCTTCCTGCGCAGCATACTAATAACTATTACTAGTACGCTAGCCCATTGTGCTCAGATCGGTCAAGGGAACTTACTTACCTCGACTTCTCGCAAACAGCAAACTGAAGAAACTCGAGCATCAGGCAAGCGTGTGAATTTATGAGGCGCATGCACCTTCACTCACGACATGACACGATCCAAGCCTAAGGCTAAGGCTACTACGGCTTTGTGTGACCTTACTGCCTAACGTTGATCTCAGTCCTCAGCACATAGTGTGACTTTGAGACTTTGCGGTAGATGTGCACGTGGCCACGGCTTCCTTCGCCGTCACACAGGCTAGTCAACTCACCTCGGCGGTTCTAAAAATAGTGAATGCTCAGATCATCTGGGCACCAGCGCATGTGGCCCTTGTGGGGGGAAGCTCTCCGCCGTGTTGTGGGAGCTTGGGAGTCTTGAAGTGCCTGTCCTTCGCTGAGCGTGTGGTCGTCCGTCAAGGAACTGCGTGGATCCGTACCGTGTGAAGATCTACATCTACATTTACGTTGTTGTCATAGTGGGCTTCGAGAACCAAGTACATGCACTGAGGAACGCGATACAGTCACATGATCATATAAGTGGATGTCTACGACACAATCGCTGCCTTCGCCATTTCAGATGGCATTACGTCAAACGGTGTACTAGCACTCACTTTTGCCTGATAATCCCAATGACTCGAATCCATCAACAAGGCTCAAGAAGATTAAGAACGAAGTGAAAACGTGACTCCGTGGGCCGGCTACGTGTCTTGTCGTCTCTCACGGGTGAATATTGTAGGCTACGGCCACTGCAGCGTGGCGTATTCACTGGCCATAGAAAGCATTTTGTGTTACACGTACTGATAAGATCACATAATGTGAGTTGGCGACCACTGTCAAAGTGGACGCGCGTGTACACAAAGGTGAGGAGTTTGGGGGGAGTTGTGTAATAACTAACAACAAAGGACCCGACTCGAGCCATTGCATTGCAATCGTGCCAGGTCAGTACATGTATGAAGAAAATGTTCGTTCACTCGCTCATATCGCTACAAGCCTACATGTTCTGTCTTTGCCATGCACCACTGTAACCAGCTAGCTGCGGAGCTACTGATACAGTGATAGTACTATCCTCCCGTAACAAAGGTTACATGCTGCCCAGGCTACCCCTTGTATACTCCAGTGCCGCAGTGGTAGACTACGTGTAGTGATCTTTTCTAGACTTTAGTCTTGTGCCAGTACTAGCAGTAGTGTTGTTGCAAATGTCCTAGTAGTAGTACTAGTTAGTTTGAGACGGTAGTGCAGCAACTACATGTACAGTCATGTACATGTAGACTTACGTTACAAAGTAACATATCCATGCTACTGTTACGCGTAAGGTAAACATTCCCTTGAAGTTAGTAATTAATACTACAAAACACTAGGTATGTTTAAAACAAGGGTCCATGAACTCTTGCCGCTAGTAAGTAGTGCTAGTGCCCCTGCTACTGCTAGTACTAGTACTGTAGTAGTGCTACTGGTTGCTACAGCTGGTTAAAGGGGAAGTTAAGGCAAAAATTAAAATTTCACCAGTTGTAGTCTTCGGGGTGCTGAGTCGAATGGTCGTGGTCCAAGGAAGCTGAGACGCTCCCTTCCTACTTGAATCCCAATCGAACTCGCGCACTTCCACCGAAACTGGGTGACTGCGCCCTACTAGATGGGGATTTGTATGCAAAATGTCACTAAAAGCGCCATTTCGTTCTTATAAAAGCACGGATGACCGCGATTGGCCCATATGTTGTAGTCTTTGGGACGCTGAGTCGACTGGTTTTGGTCCGAAAAGGCTGCGATGCGGCGTTCCTCCTTTATTCCCAATCGAACATGGTTGAAGAAGCGGTCACGTGCTCCTGCGTACACCAGTCACCTGGTCACCGTGCCTGCAGGGTACAACTAACTTACTAGCCTGTTTGACCGTTTTTGGGTGCAGTCCTGTCACTCGAGTTGAACTCGAGTTGAACCTTGGTGTGAAAGTTGTCACCTGCTGGCGTGGTGACCAGGTGATTTGGGCACCCAGGACCACGTGACCGCTTCTTCAACCATGTTCGATTGGGAATAAAGGAGGAACGCTGCATCGCAGCCTTTTCGGACCAAAACCAGTCGACTCAGCGTCCAAAAGACTACAACATATGGGCCAATCGCGGTCATCCGTGCTTTAATAAGAACGAAATGGCGCTTTTAGTGACATTTTGCATACAAATCCCCATCTACTGATCTAGTAGGACGCAGTCACCCAGTTTCGGTGGAAGTGCGCGAGTTCGATTGGGATTCAAGTAGGAAGGGAGCGTCTCAGCTTCCTCGGACCAAGACCATTCGACTCAGCACCCCGAAGACTACAACTGGTGAAATTTTAATTTTTGCCTTAACTTCCCCTTTAACGTTGCTGTGGTGTTACACGTGTATACCAGGGCCAGGGAATTTTACGACTCGACTCTCTGCAGCTAGCTAGGTGTAGGCCTACTGACGACTGATGAGTGATGTGCGCAGATAAATTATCATGATTGATTGTACTGATTGCGTCCTGTGGATGTGAAATTCACCCGACTCTGACTCTGACCCTGACTGGGCCTGAGAGCTACTACATCAGTAGCATGGCATGTACATTGTACATCTACAGCCTGGCTGTCTTCAAACTGACTACAAATTAGTACAATGCACAGCTAGCTGACTGTTCCATGAATGGTCTTGGGAACTACTTGTTGCGATATGGTCGACACTAACTGTTTGACTGTAGCTCGAGTGGGCCCAGACGTAGGCCAAGCATGGCGCTTTCACGCCACGCTCAGGAGAACCGCCAGGATAGTGGCGGCGCCGCTACATAATCACTGCAGTTTAGTGACACGATTCACGAAATGGTCACTTCTTTTATCTTCAAGCTACGCTATACTGTCCACTAACACAACCAGTTACTAAACAATCAGCTCATGCGATAACATTGCACGACACTGACCGACGGTACTGACGTTCTACAACTAACTGGCTAACAGCTCTAGCACATCTTGGATGCGCACTCCAACAGCCTTCCAACTAAGTTACTTGGAAGGTTCTAAGTTATAGAAATAACACAAGGAGGGGAAGGTGAGCGCAACCAAGATAAGCACGAGCTGAAAGTCTCAGCTGTGAAGGACGTTGGCGGATTTTCATGCATGTCGATGAAGATACTGGCAAGACCATTGGACAATACGGTCAAACCACGATTCAAGAACGCAAAGCAACATTCTACACAACTTGTGTGGCTCAAAAGATGCGAAGATCAATAAAAGGGGAATGCCCAGTTTGTGCCAGGAAGTTTGACTTATGCCGATAGGCGCCAAGTCTTGTCACTGTTCACCTTCGGTCGTCGATTTCTGATCTCTGTTGCCTCAAGCAGGTACTTGCGTGATGGAAGAGAAGGCTCCTTCCCGAGAATCTTCGCCTGGTGAAAGGGCTGACATGATGAGAAGATGATGTGTGAGATTCTCGGTGGTATGGTGGGTTTTGTAGTAGTTGCCCCAGGCCAGGGTCCTGGCAGCTTTCTCCGCCATCGTCCGCGCTTCCCGGTAGTGTTCCTGAAACCGCTCCCGCACTGCACTGGCCGTGCATTATTCTACGCTTGTAAAAATGTTTTCCTTGGGGCTACGCATGCACGTCTCACCTCTAGTCTAGATCAACTACATGTATTTCTAGAATCTTACTTCGAATGTATCTTGCTAAAGATCGACCATAGCTACAGCCTACATGTATAGCCATGACCTATGCCATAGATAGGGCATGACCATGATGACTGTGTAGTAATAGCGGTAAGTACGGCTTGTGGAGAATCCATAAATACAAATACAAAGTAGGAGCAGGAGTGCTTCATTTACGTATGCGGTAACCCGCTACTGCTGATCAGGCGTCTCGGGTCTAATACTAGTAATAATAAAAAGTTTATTATTCGACTATTAATTTTAATAGTCTAGCCGAGTGTCGCGAGTAGGTCACTAGCCTAGGTGTCACACCAGTCTAGAATAATCCGACATGATGACTGTAGCCTTGTACTTGTTGTAGGAGTTGCACTGATGAGGCCTCATTGGCCGAAACAGTCTTCATCTGGCTGTCTGCATCATTGACGTGTAGACCTACAATGTACATCATAGTACATGACATACCGGTATATAGGTACGTATGTACGTGACGTTTCGCTGACAAGGTCTACATGTACCATCTACACGAGCTCAGGCAATAGTTGATCTACTACTAGTAGGCACTTCAGGCGATTTTTTCAAAACGAGAAATACGCGTATTTCTTTTTTGTATCTGATTCAGATAGGTTTAGGAAGACTCCACAGAAAATTTGAAGCAAAAAGAATAACTTAGCACAGAGATATAGCCACCCAAAGTCGGAGAATTGAATAACGGCATTTTCAGTATTTCGACGGCACCAGCAGCATATCAGAAATTGGCAGAACTTGCTTCAGTGTCTATAGTGGCAAAATACCAGGCTCGCTGGAAGCAGGTCAAAATAACCAGATGAATGCAGAAACAGCATGGTTTGGGAAAACTTCGGATTTTTCATCCGTCCGGCAGCTCCGACGAAGATATCGGGTGTGGTCACCATGGCAACTCCATAGCAACAGCATAGCAACTCCATCGCAACAGCATGAAAACAGTGCAGAGAAGCCTTCGGAAAAGCATAAGATGAGACTTTGAGGTAAGATAAAGTAACTACAATAATTCAGTGCCAGAAAACATTGTTGCTACATGTACAGTACTGACTTGGTGATGAGTACGGAAGAACAATGAGCCGAAGACTGAGCAAACTAGAATTTACCGGGTATTTGACGGAAAGAAATGACAAACTATTACAATAGAACATCGTCTGCAAATTTTAGGGACTACTGAAACTTCAGCAACTCCAGCATGAGAGATTTTGTGCATAGAATGTGTGCTGGATTCTTGGTATAATATCACCGTCAATGCTTTTCTTGGTCGCTGGAAGCCACCTGCTGATCAGCTGACGATTTGTTCCGAGCAGGCCGTTTTGATGTCAGCTCTCTTGGTCCAGTCGCCGAAGTATATACTGTCCTACTCGTCGCCTGCAGGAGAGGACGACTCCTCCGATGCGACTCCAATAACACCTGGCAATATTTCTTCTTGCGCAGCCATGCGCATGGGCTCCGACGAACAAGGACTATTGCCGGGAGGACGCCTGTCGCGGTTCGCTTCCAATAACACCTCGCATTATTTCTCCTTGCGCAGCAATGCGCAAAGTGTCGGACGAACGAGGATAACTGATCCCGAAAGGAAATACGACGCTGAAGACGATGAGCTACATGGCATTTGCGTGCAACCAAGTGAAATGCCCGAAAAATCCTTGCCGATTTTACTCGAACTGTACGTGAGTTCAAAAAATTGCCGCATCATGACGTAAGTGGGCTCAAACGAAAGCTGAGGGCCTCAGCTACATGCTGCGCCACACGAGAAGGCCCTGCGCAGCTTCCGTGCAGCTACAGATCGATCTATGCATGCGCCTTTCCTTGGTGCCACGCATGTACGCGATTCAGCGTTAGCACTTTTTGACAGGTCATGTCACGTGACTGAAGTGCCTACTACTAGTAGTACTAGTACTACTAGTACTACTAGTAGACCCAGGTGCTCGAAGTCCGTACACGTTTACAGTGTGTGTTTGCCGAGCTGAAACTCACACTAGCAATGATCACTTGCCAGAATCCTGCTCGTGGATGGAAGGTATCTTGTCCAAGTTTGTTTTGAGGCCAGGCTCGATTGAACCAGGCCATCTTTCGATCCGATCTGTTTCTCTGGAGTTCGCTCATTTTTCATATCAAATTTTGGTGTCGCAGAGGGTACTCTAAGTCCGTACTGATCAGAGGTGACTCGAAATACACACATATTTCTGCTAATTGCTAACTTGCAATCCCTCGGTTACGACGAAAGCACCGAAGGGATATGTTTGGCATGTGCCTCCACCGGTATTTCTTGCAAAAGCGTAGCTTGTTGCCGAAATGCAAGCTGTTTTTAGTCGGCTCAGAGAAGAAGCAGCTGCGCTGTGAAAACCGCGGGAAAACAGTGGTGGAGATGCCAGGAGTGTCAACCTTTCTGCAAGGATTGGTGGTTCTCTGTAAATTCTTCTCCTCTGGCCATTGTCAGCTCTAAGCTGGCTCTTGATGATTGAGTGAAGGTCTGTTTGACGCTGTGTCCGTTCGAAATCGGTCTTGGCAAAGTTGATTTTTGCATGAAATGTAACCCAATTTGTATTTCGTATGGACACTCGAAAACCCACTCCCGTGGTATGGGACTTCTGCTGATCGTAGATCCCTGAAAATTGGTACGCGAGGAGAACATACCACACTGTCCCCTCCATAAAATATTTGAGTCGAATACAATAACAGAACATGAAATTATGGGCGTACGAACTTAGGATACCATGTACGGACTTCGAGCACCTGGGTCTACTAGTGAGCGGCGCTGAGCGCGGTGGTTGACTTGTGTGATGACGGTCTGAGTGCAAAGTTCACCGATGTGAACGCGAGCAACCGTCTAGAGGTCCGCACTCTTGGCCCAACTATGTCGACTGACCAATAATGATGGATGTGGAACAGATTTCATGTCGATCTACTAGTATTCGGTGTTGACTGTTGAGTGTAGTCTATACCGCAGTCTGCTTGTGCCGAAGACTGGGAGTGGGAAGTAACTTAGTTGTGGAGCTAAGACTTAGTAAGAGTACATCTTCATGTGGCCGCCAACAGATTTCACTTCAGGCTTTCATCCACGACTACGTTATCATCATGATCATGGTTATACCAAGACTGCAAGAGTTCATAAGGCTTGAGGAGTTCTTGCCAAGTCTTGAATATGGTGATTCAGTCTTGATAGCTACCTGTACAATACTATGATAGTCAGTAAGCCACTTTTACGGGCAAAGAATGGAACCAAATGAATGAAGCAACTCAAGACGTTACAAGAGCACAAGTAAATAAGAACTCAAGAGACTCAGTTGAATGCAACGCAAAGAAGAAAAAGAACCAAAATATACAATACTATTATGCTACACGCGAATGGCCCAATATTTATTGTCAGAATGAGCCTCTGAGATAAAACTCTGTACAGGGAGTCGTACGAATACCGGCAGCTTTGTGGAGCTCTCTACCCGGTGAATTTGCTCAAACGTGCATTGCAGCCGCCAGCAGAATCTCGGACATTTTGCACGCCTCGCAGACCGCATGTGACATATGCTGCCCTTCACTCAGTGCCATGATGCGCAGCTGTTCCTCCAGTCCAGAGGACCAGACACTGCCATGATCATGATGATTGCGTGTTCTTGCATGTTGCCGGCCTTTACTTGGAAGCTTCCCGACTAGACTGCATGCGCACGGGGGGATTCCCTGCCATGCCAGTTGTGTCTGTGCGTTCCGTCGACTCCCGCATTTGCTTGAAAAATATTTGGCGGAAATGGATATTGTGTCCAGCCTGAACTCGGGCACCCGAGCCGTCTTATGCCGTAGATCTACGACGAACACCACACAAAACTGGGCTCCTCTCGCGCCACACTACCATTGCCAACTAACTTGAAAGTTGAAGGCAACGGTTTGACAGACTCAGTCGCTGTGTCCGAGTGGCAGGAAAACTCTGGAGTCCAGTAGGCGCAGGCCTCAACAACACTAGCGAAATAGGAGAGATCATCAATCTCGCATCCTGTTCGTGAAATAATTGTTGCCCGGTTCCCCTACCTTGACATCCCATTCATAGTTAGTGCATCAGGACCAGGACCCGACATCTTACACTGACTGGCTGAGCAAGTGAGTGAAGGTTTCCTCTAGAGTCTTCATTATCGGAGACATCACATCGCCTCGTATGGAAGCAAATCGAGCTGTACCGGTGCCAAACTAAAGTAAATCGACAAGGGCCTTCGCCAATCTAGCGCTCGTCTGACCTGAGCATTGGCGAAGAGCAGTCTTAGAGAGCCGGTGGCTGTAACGACGGTGACGTGATCATCCTAAGGGTAAGCTGGGAAAACCACTAAGACGCTGTGTGAGAATTATCGCTGACCAAAAGTGGCGCACGTTTTAGGGGATTCTTGGAAACGCCATTGTGTGCTATCGAAAGGACTGATTCATCCCGTGAATCCTTTCATCATTTTCACGTCATGGTCATGGTGACCCAGTGCGGTATGTCACGATGAATGAAGAAATTATGAAAACGCTGCATGTTGCATGCAGCACCTGGTTAGCAAGTCTTTATACCGTGAAAGTCCGTAAATAAGTACCGACCACCGTACTGGTGCTGTTCACACTGTGAAAGAAGTAGATCCACCTGCCCGAAATAAATACCCAATTCAATCTTTTGACTCTGTCTGTTGAGCTCAAGTCAAGCCCGATAAACATGCTGCCCGAAATAAGTACCAGTACCAGTGGCAGTGTCTGCTCTAGCCTTGTAGGACAGCCGGGTACACGTGTACCTGGCGCAACCATTTCAACCGGGTCGGAGCCGGGTACACATGTATTCGACGCGCGCCTCTGCATGAACTGTCACACGTACACGCCATGTAGTCAGTCCTTTCAAAGTTCGAACGTGTAAAGTACCAACCGGGTCACAGGTGACCCGGTACTATATTTTCAACCGGGTCCAAGCGCCGCCCAACCGGGTCGATTACCCGGCTCACCCGGCTCTGGGGCAGACACTGCAGTACGGTGCTCACATGCAGCACGTAGCATGTATGTGTCTACATGTACATCTACATGAAGATGATTTCCACTACACACAAGTCAGGTCCCAAAGTTAGTTTGTGCCCGAAAGTCAGTACCCGCCCGAGAGTTAGTACGGGTGCGGCCACTAATTTCGAAAGCAAGCACGTACTGTAAAAGTAAAAAGTAAAATTTGAGGTTGTGTAATATTTTCGGTATTCTCCAAAATCGGCGGTTCGGTGGAGGGAAATTTTCAGTAAAACCCGTTTTCCAGGTAAGTGTACTAGTACTACATGTATACAGTATCGGTTGTATCGAAATTTTCGGTGAGTTTTATTTTCGGTAAAAATTGTTGGCACCGAAGTTACCGAAAATAAAACACAACCGAAAATTTCTGCTTTTACAGTACTATCAGGCCAGCAGGGGCGTCGGAAGGCATTCAACATTGGTGCGGCCGCACGAGTAGGTGGGGTCCGGGGATCCTCCCCCGGGAAAATGTTTCGGAAATTGGGCCCAAATAGCCCATATTTCATTGCTTCAAAAGTCACAAGATGAAATTATTAGTGTGGCTTTGGCCGGACCTGCCGCACCGGTTCCGACGCCCCTGCTTATTTACGGACTTTTACGGTATCTCCTCAATGCAATAACCTGTGATGTAACGCCCGGCGTCTGTTAAAACTCTTGATCTTATGCTGTACTGCCACACCAGAGAGAGAGAGAGAGAGAGAGAGAGAGAGAGAGAGAGAGAGAGAGAGAGAGAGAGAGAGAGAGAGAGAGAGAGAGAGAGAGAGAGAGAGAGAGAGAGAGAGAGAGAGAGAGAGAGAGAGAGAGAGAGAGAGAGAAAGAGATCAGCGTCATTTTGTGCTGTTCTGCTCCACATGTATTGCAGATGTCTCCTTGCTTTGGAGCGCTCGGGGCATCCTAAAAGATGGCAGAAGGTGACGCTTCGGATGTTTCCTCGAGACTGGAGAAAGGTAAGCCTAATCGTGCAGTACAGAGGATAGGGAGAATAACTGCGTTGAAGAGACTTGCGTTGGAACAAACTATAATTATCATGTTTCTTATAATTAATTTGGTTCGTCGCAGATGCTTAGTGTCCCAGCTTCTGTCATGTGACCACCCACTGCACCATGCCAACACAAAGCCAAAGCAAGTCGCTTCTCATTCATGTATGTCCCACCTCGCATTCTTCCTCCCCTTTCCTCTTATTTTTTTCTCATGATATTGGTGCATCTAGCTCACTATGAAACCGAGACCTCAGGTCGGGCGAGTGCACTGCCATGGGTCTCATCACCCTTTTGCTCCTCTGTTCTAACCAGATTAGAGCCCATGGGCACTTGTAGAGAAAAATAATTTATCTGAACAAACAGGCCATGGTCAAACTGGTTCCAGAACAACACCAGTTCCCAGCACCTTCCTGTCATGGACTCTGTGCATCCATGGCTGCAACTGTAGGGCATATTGATGGAAGATTAGACCACCCTGGCCCGACGGGGTGATCCATCTTAGATCAAACACTCGTGCAAGCAAGTCAGATCAACCTGTAGGCAGGTCGGGGCCTATTCGGGGAAAAACCTGCATTCTCCTATAATTATAATGTGTTTGTTAGAGTTAGAGTTGACCACAGCAGGGATATTCCTGGTATCCCATGCATGGTGTGCCCAGTGTGCAAGATGACCATGCTGATTATTGGAAGTCACTGCGTAAATGATGTGCTCCATGATGAACATCTCCCTGAGGCTTGCTGTCTTATAGTTGATTTGTTGTGGCTGTTTGGTGTTGCAGCCTTTGAGGATGGCGATGTTGAAACGTTCGACTGGATATGCGTTGATAACAACTTGACGGGGTCAAGTATCATTGCACCGGCCACTGAAACGCTGATAATTCGGTGAGGAATTCCGTGTTGAGATGCAACTAGTGGTCAACACATCAGCGAGTATGGAAGTTTGAGACGGATGGACGGACAAACAGACAGACAGACAGACAGAGTTTGACACGCCTATGTGCGGTACCTCTAACACATAGAAAGCATGAGCCAGCAATTAGATTTATTATTGTAATTTCCATAAATCACCCATTTTCATTACGTGTGACCAAAATCGTCTCTAAATATTCATAACATCATTCAGTGTCAGGAGGAAGGTCTCCTCGACATGTTTGCTATGGGTAGATATAATCTCATTGTTTGTTGAATAGCTTATTCGTGTACATATTGTGTGACAATGTTGAATGTTCTTGTGGTGGGTGTTGGATATCTTTGTTTGCTGTAATGCAGGTGCATCCAGCATGAGGATGAGCGGTTTCTTGAGCACTTGCTGAAAGGCGGCATCTTCACGCACCAGCGTCACGTGAGAACTGGCCAGCTACCCGTGCACGTTGCCATAACCCTGGGCAAATGCAACTATATGCGTCTGGTCCTGCAGCATTCTCCGTGCACAGCGTTTGCGGTGTGCTCCGAGCACTGGTCGTGCCTTCACTATGCATGCGCCCTGGGTGATGTCGACACCATCCGCTACCTCAGCCGCACGGCGTTCCAGGATGAAAATGGCCTGGAGAGGCGCCTGAACATTGACGTTACGGACAAGAAGATGCGAACGCCACTTCACATTGCTGCTGGCTGTGGCAAGACGGATGCAGTGAAATTGTTGCTGCAATATTCGCGTGAGGCGGAGGATGGACAGCTGCAGCGGGTGAGCGTCAACGCAGCAGAAAGCTCCGGCCGCACACCACTGCACCTGTCTTGTATTGAAGGGCACGTGGGGGTAGCCAAGGCACTGGTCGGAGTCGCTCAAGACATGCAGGAGTGGGCCTGGCGCAAGAGCAGTCCCAAGGCCGATGTCAACCACTTTGACCTGTACGGCAAGACGGCGTTGCACTACGCTGCGCAGCGTGGCGATGACGAGTGCGCCGATGTGCTGTTAAGACATGGCACCGACGCGGCTGCACTTGCCGAGCCCAGTCATAAGGTGTGTGTACTGTTGGCGGCGGCCGTCGAGGACCCCAGAGTGATGAGCTGCTTTGCCGAATACTGCGTTGACAACCCGCAGGCAGATGACACACGTTCGCTGCTGGGGTCTCTGGAATTAGTGAACATATCCGATCTGCACAGCGGCCGCAGTCGTTCAGCTAGCCAGTCATCCCACATGTCCATTCGTTCTGATTACTTTGCGGAGGAAGCAAGCACCAGCGAACTCGCCAGCCCTCTACCCGACATCAACGAAAGCATTACGTCGCCTGATCTGTCTGATGCATCCCGTGACACTCCGAGCCCGGCTGCCAGAGATGCCAGGGAGTTCTCCATCATCAGCAACACAATCGACCCGCTCAGTCTATCCACGTTTCTGCATGGAGCAACTCGACAGGTGACCAGCTCCCCGCTGACACACCAGCAGCCAGTCGTCATGGCCAGCAGTACTCTGAAGTCAGCGGCGGCGCAAAGCCAGTATATACACTTCCCCAAGATTACGGCACTAATTGAAGCGTGCGCTGCTGGACACGAGGAGACGGTTAGAATCCTGCTGCGCTACGGGGCCACCGACGAAACACGCCTGGGAGTGAAAATAGCGCTGTTTGCCGAGGCCCACAATGTGGTGGAAGCATTGTTGACAAAGTGCCACAAGTTTGAGGCACGTGCGAAAACCGCGGACACGGAGACCGACCTGGTCACCGTACACGAAGAGACGAAGTCTGCTGCATCCATATCTTGGAGCAACCTGTCGCTGTGGGACATTGACAGCAGCTGGTTGCGTGCAGTTGAGCAGCTCGACCGTGAAGTCCATCCCATTGCCACGTCCTACCGCTTGCAACCGCAACACACACCATGCATCACGCTCTACAACTATCCACATCTGCTGCAGGAGACCCTGACCAGTCCGTCGGCCATTGTCCACCTCGAGCTACAAAACAACATGCTGAGCACCGTGCCACTCTGCGTGTTTCAACTGGAGCACCTGGAGGCACTCAACCTCTCTAGTAATCAACTGCGCTATCTTCCCAGAGAGCTCCGCGATACAGATGGATGTGAGAACTCAGTGGACAATGGTCTTGTGGACCCTGCAGAAAAGTCTGAAGGCTATGATGTCTTCGATGGCTGGCGTTGCAAGAAGCTTGCCAAGTTGAAGCTGAGCAACAACAGCCTAATGGAGATGCTACCGGTGTGCGTGTGGCTGCTTCCTGCCCTGACCGTGTTGGAGGTTCAGCACAGTGGGCTGCGGTCCTTACCAAACTTCAGCGAACTGCACAGCACAGCTGGTGTCAGCGTGTCACCTCGCCTGAAGATTCTCGACCTGTCTGATAACATGCTGGACAGGATCGACGGCGGCCTGTTCTACATTTCATCCCTAGAGAACATCAACCTATCCTGTAATCACCTGTCCGTGCTACCATCGCAGATGTGGATGGCACTCAGTCTGAAGAAGCTGGACCTGTCTCGAAATCGATTGGCGCGACTTCCGGGCCTGTCACTGCCCTTCAGCGAGCTGCTTTCATTGGATCTCAACGACATACCCAGTGCATACCAGGCGGTTTACAAGCAGCGCATGATGTATTGCGAGGACAGAGTTCCCAGTGGCAGCCTGAGAAGTCTGCCGTCATCTCTGGTTCGTATCGATCCGACGGACACGGCCGAAAAGCCCGAAGTCCTGACAGTTCACAGCTACTCCGCCGAAGCCTCCCTGGATCTCAGCATGTCCCTTTGCCACCCAGTCAGCACTCTGAAACCTGTATACCAGACCACTGCTAGTCCCGTGTGGCCCAGGGAGGACAGCTTGACATCGCAAATCAGCTGCGAGTCCGACAGCGAGTCGTCGCCGACAGTCCTGAAGGAGCTGAACCTCTCTCGCAATCACTTTGTCGGTGTGCCCGAAATGCTAGCCTGCCTGGCACCGCGTCTCACCGCCCTGAACATGAGTCACAACTACTTGACTTCGCTCGGGCCAATCGGCAACATACCGAGTGGACTGAAAATGCTCAACCTCTCCAACTGTCGCATCCGCTCGTGTCACATAGCACCGGATGTGAACATCGAGCGATACCATTGCCACCTCCTGGCTGGCTCAGGATCCGTTCCTGTTGACGCTGACAGTGCCCTGTGCACCCATTGCCAGCACATCACCCTACCGAGCCTGGAGCACTTCGTTCTCGACAGCAACCGGCTTGAGACGTTCAACGTTACCTGTGCACTGACGCCGACAAACCGCTCGCCCGCACCTGACGGCAGGCCCACCAAGACGCCCATGGAGATTGTTACCAAGCCACTGTATCCTGAGCTAAGAGATCTCTGCTTGGCTCGCAACATGCTCAGACAGCTGTCGCCGCTGCTCGGCAACCAGAAGAATCTCAAGTCACTGAACATAGCCCACAACAAGTCGCTTACACACATCCCACCAGAGCTGGGAAAGCTGAGAGGTATTCTTCTCAATCTGGAGAGCAGCGGTGTCAATCTGATCTTTCCCTCGCCGGCCACCCACTCTCCACGTCGTCTGCCGTCCTTCCTCAGCTTCCTGGAGTCCACACTACGAGGGTAAGTCCTGCATGACTTGCTAATGCTACTGTGGTGACGAGGTGGCCGAGTGGTTAAGGCGATGGACTGCTAATCCATTGGGCTCTGCCCGCGTGGGTTCGAATCCCATCTTCGTCGTGTGCTTCTTTTTTGGAATCCTTTGCGGATCCCGGGAGATTGTTTTGCAAATTCTGTTTGGCACAACTCGATATCTGTATAAGTTTTAAATGAGTATCAGGTACGTTTCATTGCATACGAAATGAAGACGGTTTGATAGACAACAAGAAGGAAGACCTGGGAGCCGGGTCTCCGTGACTTTTTTTAATCTTAGTTCTATTGGCTAGGGGAAGGAAACCATCCTGTGGGATGGTGCACTGACCACTTGAATTGAGTAAAACAGAAAAGTGAGAGATCGTGGTTGAAAATGAAGTTTCGGTGAGTTTTCAGCATGTTTTACCCACAGCGGGGCCCAACCCTGCCCATCCGTTTCTTTCCAGAAAACTGATCTAGGGAAACCCGGGCACAAGCAATATGGTGACTGTTTTTCAGTTCTTTCAGTTATTTGCTGTCCCTGGAGGCTTCTTTCTTCATCATTCATTATCAATTTTCAGGTACTTCTCGCTGCTTATTGACAGTTGACGAGAGTCGTATTCTTCATACTCATTGTTTTGTGGTGAAAACATCTCCAGAAACTTGAAAAAACAATAATAATATAATTATCGCTGCAATCTGATGTTCCTGCCACCCTACCCAGGGGCTTCCCCAAGAATCGTGAGGTACACATCACCCGAGATTTTACCTGCCGTGTCTTCTCCGGTGTTAATGCAACTTTCTGGTTTAAAAGTAAAATTAAATGGATTTTCCCTGCCCCCTCTCCCCGCCGTTGTCTCTCTTCCACACACCTAGATCCCAAGAGTTCCGTCACATGCGCCTGACCATTGTCGGTCTCAGTCGCCGTGGTAAGACAACACTGCTGGAGAGACTGAGAGGCGTGTCGCCGATGCAGCTTGGACCATCCGAACCAACTGTGAGTTCAGCTCGGGAGAGTTTCGAATCTTTAGACGGTTGGCTTTTTGGTTGTGTATAGAGCTAACTAGATTATTGTTTGCCAACCCGTGCAAAAGCTAAATCTGTTTCAATCTACTTCAAGTATTTGGTAGCTTTGATTCACCCAATCTTTTTTACCTACCGTCTCACCTGTGTCAAAGGCAACAAACAAAGCGTATGCTTTAGTAAAGAAGTGCTAAGTGTCTGTGCCATAAACTTCTCGAATTTCACAAATGTTCGGGGTACTTTTATTCTCGGTCCTTTCGGTGAATCTGTTTCATACCTAAAATTTCAATACGCCGAACAAACACTAGCACACATAATCCAATAGGGGACTGCTGCTCTGTACCTAAAATTTATGTTCACCTAACCTGGCCTTTTGCCCTCGTACCGAAAATATTGAGCACCTAAAATTTCTGAAATTGGAGTATATATATATGTGCTACCTGCCATTGCTGTAGCTTTTATACACCCGCATGCTTTTTTATGCATATGCCGGCACTGAGCCGTGATGCTGTGCAGCAGTTGAAACCCTCTGTTCTTTATCGTATATGTCTGACACACCACACACCACACACCACACACCAGGTGAGCATAGACATGCTGGACGTGGAACTTCAGCCACCCAAGCCTTCTCACGCTAGCAGCCATGATGCGAAGAAGCCTATCATCTTCAACTGCTGGGACTTTGCTGGTGAAGTAGGTTTGCGACCTGTTGCAATGTGGATGCTCAGTTGAGATTCGGTTTTCTCTTTTGTGTCTGCTGCATATTCAGCCTTTTTCAGTTATCTGATCCATAGTTTCCCTGAAGGACTTCAAACTGTATTCGATACATCAGTGACATTGCTTGTTGGTCGAAGTGAACCAAAACCAACTTCAGTCGACTACTGATATGACGAAAAACACCAATGTGCAGCAGAATTAGTTGGTATTGCCAGAGCTCTTTAGAGCAGAAGTTCGCCTACACCATGGCAAGCAATATAATTCATACCTGGCATGTGGCCAGTGACTGAATGAGTGCATTTGGTGTATATGTTCTCATACGAGATATGGCTCCTTAAGCAATGTAACTGGTACCGGTTCGCAGCAAAGGTTCGTTTTTGTGTGGGTTAAGATGGACAATGCTTCGCTATCATCATGAAATTCGCTATACGCCAGTTTGTTTTCGTGAAGTCGACTGTGCTCATGCATTTAGAAAAACATCTGCGATGTTTACGGCGCGGGTGCTGTGTGTGTGTGTGTGTGTGTGTGTGTGTGTGTGTGTGTGTGTGTGTGTGTGTGTGTGCATGTGTGTGTGTGTGTGCACATGTGTGTGTGTGTGCATGCATGTGTGCGTGTGTTCATGAATGGTATATGACACAGGAGCTGTACTACAGCCTTCACCAGTGCTTCATCTTCCAGCGAACTCTCTTCTTGGTTGTGTGGAAGTTGACAGATGGAGAGAAAGGCATTGATGAGCTTGAGCAATGGCTGGTCAACATTCAGGCAAGCTCCAGTGAACATACATTGGGTATTTGTTTTAGCATGACTGGCACTGCTCCAATGTATACCACAGTTCCCCGACTAGGAGTCATCCTCGGCTGGAGTTCATGCCTTCATTTTCAGGTCTCCGCAATGTCTTTTCAATAATTCGGTTCACTTTAGCAGTAAATCACACTCGGTTCAAGTATAGGCCGTACATCCTTCTTTGGCCTTGAAATTCAATGGGGAAAAGGTCCGACTGAAATTTGGAGAATTTCGTAAATATGGCTCAATATCACAACTCCAGCACCTATCATTGGCGGAATTGCATTCTTTGCTTTCTAATTACCGTATTTCCGGTTTATAAGTCAAACCCAGTTAAAAGTCGAAGCCCCATACTTCGGACCTCAATTTCCCTATTAAACTCCGATTAAACCCCACCGTTTAGGAGCCGCATCTGACGCCTGATCATGGGGTGGTGGCGTCTCACGGAAGCGGAAAGGTGGTTCTTGACCAGGGAGCTGTACGACTCCTTGTTCTAGACCTGCCCGGTACGCGAACCCGTCGAATTTTTTTAAATTTAAACCCCGATTGTAAGTGGACTTCCCCTTTTCTAGTTCCGTTTTTAGGTCGTAAAATGTCGACTTCTATTCGGGAAATACGGTAATGTGCATGTATACGTTACACTGTTCACTGTTCACTGTTCACAGTCCAGAGCTCCAGACTCTCCTGTCCTGATTGTCGGCACACATCTGGACGAGCTGCCAAACAGCAATCGAAAGGCCCGCGTCGAGGAGCTGCTCAACATGGTCACGTCGAGATACCAGAGCCAGCCACCCAAACCATACTTGCCGAAGGTAAGACTGCTGACGAATTATCCACATGTACATTGCCTTACAAGCTGTTGAATGATGTAATGCCAGCAGAAGTTGCTATGTCTAACATAGCTTGTTCGCAATCATCACGTCAACGATGGGCATTAGGATGAGTGTATATGATAGTATCGACTTCAGTAACTTATTGCAGTGTCAACTTCAGTATTACAGAGTTGACTACAGTATTACAGAGACGACTACAGTATTACAGAGTTGACTACAGCTAATTGGCTAGGGATGGTTGGAATTTGTACAGGAACCGTAAAGGGATAAATAGTCACAGTACATGATAACCCGGAGTCGTAATAATCTTATACTGCTGTTTACAGTGGAGAATAATTCGGAGCCATGACTGACTGGCGTTGTGCTCATTTGACTGCATTCCCATGGCACATTGTAATGGAGTGTTGCGCACATTGGCATCCTATCGGTACTGTCTCATTGCCAATCATGAATGCAATCTATAGAGTTCTCAGGTATTGTGGATTATAGGATGTGTTTAAAACTGGATCTCGTTATCATTTTAAGAAGTGGCTCTTGATCCGGATACAATCCTCAATGTCCCCCAGCACCATTTCATCGTAAACATTGGGGTTACCGTTCCATGCGCATCTGGTGCTTGCTTCGCCCAATGTCCAGGTGGTGGGGATCTCTGCCGTCAGCTCCACTGCACGCCGCCATCACTGCATCGATGACCTCAAGGCATTGCTGTACGACATTGCGTCCAACTTGGAGCTCAAGCAGCATGGAGGAAGTAAGTGCCAGAATCCAAAAAAACGTTTTAACAATAGGCTAAATCAACTGTGACTAGGCGCTGGGGAACATTGATCAAAAGCGTTTCTGGATATTTTGTTCCTATTTCTTTCTTTCTTTTTCTTCTTCAAGTTTTGTTCCTATTTCACTGCTGGATATATATTTTTAAACAATGACCTAACTTTTTGTATGTCACCAGCCTCTGCCGTCACATAGTATCTTTAGCTTCAAAAACCCATGGCTAATCACACGAAGATTGCACAGTTATATCTGGCCTGCTATTGTGAGCTATGAGTTTTGGTTTTTGACATATGCATCTAGGCAAAGTTAACTTAGAACTAGCAGGCTGACCTCACATGCGCATTGCTTTGATGTTTTCGTTCTCACTATAGTTGAGTACACATCGAGGCATGAGCAGAGCGCTAACCTGTTGCTCTGCCAGCCGGTTCCTGCTAGCTATCTGAAACTGAGACAACGCATCTTGGAGGCGGCCAGCGACCGATACCGCGCAGAGAAGTCCGTGCTGACAAAGGAGAAATTCCGGTACGAGCACGTGGTGATCCACCAATTTCACTCCCTTGTTACAGGGTCTTACATAGGAGCCCCCCCCCCCCCCCACTGCAATGCACTAATAATGATGCCAATCCATTAGCTCCATTATCTGGTTCTTGTTTTATGTGGGTATAGTTCTTTCGGAAGCACCGTGTGCCTGTGTGCACTCTCACGTTGTATTCAGCTCATTTAGCTGCAGTAAAGTGTGCACCACGCTACATATTTGGTGTAATAAACTGCTGCGTGATAGCTACTGGGGGGATGACCATAGTGTTGATGTGTTGCAACCTCACCCCCTCACCCCCACCCCCTCACCCCCAACACAGTACTCAGTATGTTGCCATGGCGTCTCACCACTATGTGTCAAGATCAGGCTCACTGCAAGTGATGCCGGGGGTGACATGCATGTTAGTTGATGATGCTCTCCACGCACTGACTTTGATTGTTGTCGTGTGTCTAACGGTGGCACAGGCAAGAGTTTCGCGACTGCTTGAACGACGAAGACGAGTTCACGCAGGCCGTGGCGTTCTGCCACCACCAGGGCCTCATCTTGCACTACGAAGAGGCTGCTCTGCAGCGTCTGTACTTCCTGGATCCATCCTGGCTGTGCAAGGTGATGGCCAGAATCATCTCACCAGAGGGAGGACCACACTGTCGAGGTCGGTAGCAAACATATGAACAAATTATACACTAAAAAAAAAGTATGATTAGAGTCCAACCTTCCAAAGTATCTCTTCTGACTGCGTGTCAACTTTGGATCAAATTAATGAGTCTTCATTTTCCTGGACGACCGCTAGGTATCATTCATTTCTGTTCAAGTTATACTAAGGTATGTAAGTTATGATACAGTCAAACTCGTAAATAACGACCTCTGGTATAACAAAGCTCATGAATAACAACACAATCGTCAGACCTAGTGCCAATTTCACTGCCTACTTTCAACCTCACCAATAACAACAACTCGCGAATCACGACTCTTTTTCGCATACACGATCGAGGGGTGTTATTCGCAACGTTGACTGTACATATCATGATCCAATACTGAGGCTGCTAGACCTGTAGAAAGTCCTGTCACTGCAGTAGTGTACTGCCGGGCGGTGAAGAGCGAAGCGCCAAAGAACGACCAGGCTATAATGCCACCAAGCACAGCCGCTACCGATGTCTACACGGTGACTCAACTGTGCATAGACTATAAGACAGGACGATAGGAACAATCTAGGCTAAGAGGCTGACTACCCCCCCCCCCCCCCCCCCTCCCAGTTCTTTGACCACCAACAGTACTGTATGGCACCTGACAGCTGGGTTCCATGCCTACGATTGTTGTTCATGTGTATTGAATACCAGCATGGCACTGTGGCAGTGTGTTTCCACAAGGCTTGCTGTCCATGTCTGACGTGTTTGTGCCCCTAGGTCTGCTGTCCATGGCTGACTTGCGCGAGAATCTACAGCACTCCAACACACTGGTCTCCTACATACTGCACTTGCTGGAGAAGTTTGAAGTCGTGCTGCGGCTCTCCGATGACCTCTGTCTGGTGCAGTCGCAGCTTGAAAGCTACCTGGAGAGCCCTGGCAATGGGCGTATGTCTCCCCTACTCGGATACCCTGGTCAGGTCAGTGGTCATAGTTAGAGAAACATTGGCAGTGCACGTTACAGGGCTGCCGAATTATTATTTTTAATGATGCCCAGCATTGCCATGGTAACTCCGTGTGGGTCTGGACTGGGAACTCCGTGAGGAAAAAAAGCGAATTTGGAAAGGCACTGTACACCAGTCATGTACATGATCCACCCGCTGCGCTGTTATCACTTTTCAACGTGACGGAAATAATTTGGATGGGGCCTTTGCCATAGGCCAGCCATGCTCTCTGATAAACGAGCTATGGCGTAGCTGTCATCCAAGCAGTGATTGTTCAACATTTTCTCATGACTTCAGACTCCCTCTTCCTATGAAACCACACACTGGTGGGACGCAGCGCTCACTGTATCCCACACACTTCACGTACAACTGGTTTTTGTTTGTTTGTTTGTTTTTTTCCGAAGAATTGACTAGAGACCGTGTTGGGCGCTGGTGTGCTATTGTGTGAGCAATATGCTCGGCTCACTGGTTGAGGGAATGGAAAAGGGGAAAGTCTGAAGAAAACATTGAAAACATTGACTGTCACCACCAGGACTCGAACCTTCCCTAATATTCTGTCCTAGTCTGTTTTTTTTGTATTCAGGCTTGAAGCAGCTGGAACTGCTGCTAGGAAGAGGTTAAGTGACTGATCCGATCCACGTGAATTACTCCACTGAAATGACCTGCGATTCATGTTCCTTGCATTCTGGAATCCACTGTTGGTGTTTCTGCAGAGCAAATCCCGGTCACGCTCGGTCTCCAGATCTGGCAATGGTGAATCCCTATCGTCCTACCAGTCAAGGTTCTCCTCGTCAACGCCCAGCCTGATGTCCGTGGGTGCAACACCGCAGGCGGTCAAGAGCAGCCGCAACATGCACGTGTCTAACCTTTCGCAGAGCGGCGACTTTGAGGAGTCGTTTGAGCAGTCGGTCAGCAGCATTCTGAGCAGTAGCTCTGACACTCTCTCCCCAGATAGGAGGGTCTCTAGTGATAGCTTTATAGAGTCTATCTCAGAGAATCCCAACGAGCTGCGGAGCTCCTTGGACGTGACCAAGCAGCACGCTCTACCCTCGCTGAGCGACCCGGCGTATACGGCATCTGCGCCCATCCGCATCAACACACTCCACTGCCTGCACCGCCTCTGGATCATGGAGTGCTTCCCGTCCGGCTTCTGGCCCCGCTTGCTGAGTCGCGTGGTGCGCGGCGCCCTGTCCACCGACATCCTCTCGTACCACTTGCCACTGTGCGACCTGACCCAGTTCAAGCTGGAAGCGCTGGTGGATGCGCGTGGAAACGCGACCGGAGTGCACCACGGCCCGTTGTGCTGGTACTCCTGGTCGGATCGACTCGAGCTGAAGTGGCAGGACTGCGTGCTGATGCGCCTCACCCTGACGACTCCGGCCTCCTCTCAGAACAACACCGACCAATCAGACCTCACAGACAGCACCAAGCCCAACAGTAGTGCCCGCTACATACAATGCGATGCCTACGGCCAGTATGCCGGGATCATTGGCTCGGTGCGCTCGTCCTTGGAATTGGAAATTTTCATTGACATCTGGTCGTCGTTTTCCAATGCTTACTCCAGTGAAGGCAGTGGCTGGCAACGCGCCTTCTCGCAGCCGATGTGGGATGGTGACGAGCATGCGGACGTCGGCTTTCGTATAGCCTCCTCCTGGCTTGCCCACATCACGCAGACTGTGTGCGTGCTGGTCGGCGACTGGTTCCATGGTGTGGTGCGTGACGGCCAGATGCACTGCGTTCTGCCGTGTCACATGTGCCTGGAGGGCCATCCAGCTCATCCGGAAACCATCGCCTTGTTCCGCGCTGGCCAGGGATCGCACAGAAGAGCCGGGCAAGCACATGGCCGTGACGGGCTACTGGACGAATCTGTGCGGCCGGATGAACCTATTGTCAGCGGCCGTCAAAACAGCCGGGAGTGCGATGACATGCTAGCGGTTCACCTCGATCCGAACAGCATTGTCTGCTTTGATCTCTCGAGCCTGGTGTATCTCATGCAGCAATGTGACCCAAACAACGGAGCAGGCATCGGAAGCCTCGGTGGAAACATGGATGATTTTGTCCAGCGCGGCCTGGTGCAGTGTCCCAAACATGGCTTCTTCCTAGCCACTGATTCAGCACCTGATTTGGTGAGTTTGAACCCAACCATCCCAGCCATACCGGTATTAAATGATCTCTTGCTTAGCGGTGGATGATGCACTTCGTACCTATCTGAATGCCACCATGGTCTCAAACTCCGTGTATATGATGTTGCGTTCTTCGCACATTTTACTTGTAACACCGAGTGTGGCTGAGTGTTAACCGCTACCCACCTGACTGTGATCTGGCTGCCTTGTGTCCTTTGTGCCATGCCGCAGGCATTTGAGGATGTTACCAGCAGCCAGCTGCTCTCTGTATCGTCGTCGCGGAATGTTCAAACAGACAAGATGATGCTGGGATTCGGCGGCCAAGGCGTCATTTTCCGTGGCCGTCTCCGTCAGGTTAGTCCCCTATGCACATTTACATGGCCATGCTAGTATTGCGGGTAGTGAAATACCAGTAGGCCACTGCGCGTGCTGCATCACACTCAACAGTGACTCAGCCCTTTGGTCATGGCACAAACGCATATGCCAAAAATACGATTTGAGTCCCCCCCCCCCCCTCTCTCTCTCTCACACACACACACACACACACTCTCTCTCTCTCTCTCTCTCTCTCTCTCTCTCTCTCTTTCTTTCTCTTTTGGTTCTTTTTTTATCTTTTCAGAAGTTCATGGTGCATTGCTCTGTATTCATATTGTCTCCAGCATGGGTTTTGGTTGACCATTTATATTGTTCTTGCTACCCCTGCCTCTATTTGCACAGGGTGATGAGTCAATGCGAGCTGTAGCGCTGAAGTTCTTCCACTGGGATGCGAAGGAGGTGAAAAAGAAGACTCGCAGAGGTCCGATAGACTTGCGGAGCTTAGTGGCGGAACGAGCCGAGGATGCATGGGTCAGCTATGAGGCCCTGCGTCAAGAGGTATGCTCAAGCCCTTCAACTTCACGCACCATTGGTTTCGAAGTACAGGAAAATCTGTCAAGGCGACCACTCGGATAAGGCGACCACCTGTCCCAGAAGACCACTGCAACCAGGACCAATGGATGCTATTTCCAGTCAAATGGCACTGGATAAGGAGACCACCTGGTAACAGAGACCACCTTGTGAAGATCCCTTGAGCGGTCGCCTTAGACAGATTTCACTGTACTAGTCTTGAGTTCTTTTTCCAGCAAGCAGTTCACATTCACATTCTTCAAGAGCCAATTTGCCAAGGTGTGTGGTTTGCGGGGACCACATGCTGGCAACTGAAAAACATGGAGGACAGTCAAAAATATCATTATCCGACCAGACCGTCAGCACAAATGATTTTCACAGTATACAGATGCCACCTAAAAAGGTCTACGGTATACTTATAGCCAGGGTTGGTATCAGCTTGAAATGTAAGAGGGGCGAATTTTGTGTATAATTTTAGAGATATCTAATGTTTTCACTCCACATTTGGAGTATGATTTGATCATTTAGGTCGTTTGCCATTTTTTCTTTTATAACTTTGTGCGTGCCCATCTGTGTGTGTGTGTGTGTGTGTGTGTGTGTGTGTGTGTGTGTGTGTGTGTGTGTGTGTGTGTGTGTGTGTGTGTGTGTGTGTGTGTGTGTGTGTGTGTGTGTGTGTGTGTGTGTGTGTGTGTGTGTGTGTCTGTTTGTGTACGTCCATCTGTCTGTTCGTCTGTATGTGTATGTCTATCTGTCTGTCTGTCTGTCTGTAACGTTATGTGTGTGTCTGTCTGTCTGTCTCTTATCCCCTGTCCCAAGGTCAACATGTTACTGTGCTTGTCTCACGAACACATTATGTCGATGGTTGGCGTCAGCAGCTCTCCGCACTGTGTGGTGCTTGACCTTGCGCCGCTGGGCAACCTGCGTGTCGTCTACGATGCCTACAGGAAAAGTGGTATCCGCCTGGGTAACTTCACCACCAGGCAACTAGCTTATCAGGTACGGATGACAGCCACCCGAGGGGGGGGGGGGGGGGGCGCATAACTGGGATGGGGTATGAAGGTTTCCAGACTCACACCGCAATGAACTTGCAATGCAATTCGATGCCGCAGCCTTTTCGATCATAATCCTCAAGTTGGTTTGCGTCTCACTGTTAACACTATGTATGATCGTGTGACAGCAATGTCAGTTTGACTAAAATTAATATCCAGGGGCAAGGGGCGTCGGACACGGTACGGTCACTACAGTATTAACCGTACCACTTTCTGCCCCAGGTACCCCTAGAACCAATATAATACACTGATTTGGACTCTAAATTGCCAAATTTTCGTCTCGGCCACCCCTCCCCCACGAGTAAATTATACTTCAGTTGTCTGACCGTACCACCTTAAAATACCTTCCGACGCCCCTGAGGCCCGGGTATGAGGGGTATGCAGGTAGCCTGGAGGCCACAAAAAACACATGTCTGATACCTGCACATAGAGATGACCGGTGCCCAGTACCTGTACCTGTGTAGGTTCTGTCCATTGTGCTCGCCAGTGCAAGCACGCATGTTTGCGGCCGGAACGAGTCCAGCAAGATCTAACTCTGCCCTGCACGGCTCTCCTTCACTTTGCTCTGCTCCTTCAGGTGGCATCTGCTTTGGCATACATCCACGAGAGGTCCATTATCTACCGGGACATGAAATCAGACAATGTGCTGGCTTTCTCATTCCCTGCGCCGTCATGCCATCACGATGTTTACTACAATCTGGTAAGGTCTATTATTAGAATTTGATGCACACAAAAGCGCATAATGTATTGGGAAATCAAACGCATGTCTGCCCTGGTCCCCACCACATATACATGGTGGCCTAGCACACTATCCAGGTCCATAACCACACCAACCATCCACTATGATTATTATAAAATTTGCCTCAAAGATATGGGGATTTTGTGGAGGACGAGCGCCAAACCAGTATACCCGTCCTCGAATAGACGGCTTCTTTGCTTTGTTTGTTTTGTTTCTAGGTTCATGTGAAGCTCACCGATCATGGTATAAGTCGTATGGGTGGTCAGGCAATGCGGGTTGATGGCACTGCACGCTTCATTGCGCCCGAGGTGCTCACGCACTATGGCAATGAACCTTACGGACCAAAGGTATGGATCCGCTTTCTTGCATTTCGTATGCCGTGATTGGTGAAGTGAGTGGTGTTATACACCACTATTACTACCATATTCACATGAGCAGTATTGGATTCCCGTGCTCATTCAGGCATGTGCTGTGCCTCGGCTGTGGACAAACTGCAGTATCCAGTATCTGTTCAATGGTATCACTGTGTTGACAAATTGGATCACTCTCTATATTTTCCAACTCCCAATATAGGTGGATGTTTTCGCCTACGGAATGTTCCTCTATGAGCTAATATCGATGGAGAAACCATTTTCATCTTACCATGATGCACGTGCAAATGCTGCAGTGCTTAGAGACCAGCGACCAGGTTGGACTCCCAAGGTATGCCTGCTTTTTTTTTGTAGTTTACGGACCGTGATATGCATGCAGCTGTACTGATTTGTGTTGGAATGGTTAGTGGTATAACTATAGTACCCCTGATAGACTAAAGCCGTAATCCCTTCACACATCATATCATTATGGCGGGGATAGGAAACACTACTTTGTATAATTATATTGGTGCCGGTTCCTCTCCCTATCTCACTCATTCTCTCTCGCTCTCTCTCTCTCTCTCCCTCACTTCCCCCCCCCCCCTCTCCCTCTTTCTATTCTCTCTCTCTCTCTCTCTCTCTCTCTCTCTCTCTCTCTCTCTCTCTCTCTTTCTTTCTTTGTGTTTGTGTGTGTATGTGTGTGTGCGTGTGTGTGTCCTGTACTAAATCACTGCAGCTTGGCCATGCACCAGTGTGTGCCCAGGATGTCATGCTCAAGTGCTGGATGCAAGACCCAGACCTCAGACCAACTATGTCCGAGGTATAGAAACTGACTGATATCTTCTCACTGTGATGATGACATCATGATACCATCAAAACCTAAGGATATGACGTAATCCCAATCTAGAAATCTTCAAGTGCATGAAGTCAATTTTCGGCAATGTCATAGGATGTACTGAGCTTCTTATAGGCTTACAGATACTTGGGTTGTGCGTTCTAGCTACTTCATGGGTAAAAGTACAAAATGCCTTCCTGTATGTCTGCGTGTGCGTGTGTCCCAACAGGTGCTGACTATGATCAAGATGCCCACGTTTGCACGGATCCTGAACGCGCTGTATTTCGAGGAGTGCTTCACTATCCTGGACGCCTGCGTCAGCGTCATCAAGCCAGGTACAGTGCTGGTGGCAACTGAAATCCGACCCCCTAGCGGTGCGTTCGCTTTCTAGCGGTCTCGGTTTCACAGTTTTACCATCCCGTGTTGGGTCTTTGCGTTGTGAGCGCACTGCTCAGGGGTCGGATTTCAGTTGCCAGCACTGTATGCGTAGCATCTTGCCCCCCCCCCCTCCCCCCGCCCCATTGATGTGCTGGGAGGTGATATCTGGAGTCACTGCTGGACCTATAATATGCTTACATTATGCTAAAGCAATAGGCCTATGTATCTACATGACACACATAATGCCGTAGTGACTTTGAAAACGAAGCCAAATAGATGTACAGTGGCATGCTATCTGCCATGCGTGATACCATGCAGAGCTACCAACCTCATGCTTTAGCTTTGTGTATCCTAAACCCATTGGCACTTGGTCCTGTATGGTTTGCAGCTCTGTTATAATTTTCAGCAACATCGATGTATTCAAAATTTCCATGATGGGCTGCATAATTTCCAGTGCATTGCGCATAGTGTGCTGCAGTATGTATTCACAAAATGTAATGTAGATGCAGCATTATGCTGCATTTCACTTCAAATTGCATACAGTCAGCTTTCGAATGGTTTCCCGAGCCGCAAATACGGAAGAACACGGGTGGTTGGAAGCTCTGAACGTGGCAAAACAATTAGTAGCTGAAGTGAATTACCCTATGTGATGCCGGCATTAGATGTCTCCCCCCCCCCCCCCTCCCTTCACAGTAGCCAATGATGAGCTCGTGGCCATTTACCGCTTTCTCACACCAGATGCCGACTTGGAAAACAGGGACAAGAAGGACAAGGAGGCAGCAAACAGCACGACGACAGAGATTTGGGTTGTGGGAGGAAGTCGCGAGTGTGGTGTGGCAGCCGTTCTGAATCTTGAAACGTACAAAGTAAGGTGTTTGCAACCAGTACATGCCTGGTGGTGTCAAATGATTGATTTGCAGCTCATGAATATCTTGTGGGTGCTATTGTGAATCTTGATTGATGTGATGTGGATTATTTACTCCGAAGTACGATTGCGTGATTTCAATTGAACAAACATATGATTATATGGTTTCCGAATATATCCAGTTCTACTTTGCAGACAACATTATCGATAGAATCTTCCTTTCTTCACAAAACTGTACAACGACGTTGAGTCTCATTAGCATTGAACAGATTCCAGTGCTTTGGAAAGGAATGATCCTGGACACAGTTTCAATAGCATACTGTCTGCATTCCTCAACACGTCTGGCGACGCGGCCACGAATCATCGGGTCGGCTAACTTGATTTGTTTCACTATATGCATGCATGCGTGCGTGTGTGTGTGTGTGTGTGTGTGTGTGTGTGTGTGTGTGTGTGTGTGTGTGTGTGTGTGTGTGTGTGTGTGTGTACATTGAAGATGTGGCACTACAAGGTGTGTGACAATCGTGTCACCTGCGTGGGTAGCGTGGGCAGTACCGTGTGGATCGGCACGTCTGCCGGTTACCTGTGTATCTACGACGTCCTGTCTCGGCAGCGCTTGTTCTACGGGATCATCTCGGTGGGACGCTACGCGCTGCAGATCACGCACTGTCCGAACAGCCACTGTGTGTTGGTTGCAGTCAGCGACAAGACACTGCGTGCATACAGAGATGAGGTAAATCAAATCAAAAGTCAGTAATTATGCATATTCACTAGTTCAGAGAATGGAAAAGGGAAAAGCCTGAAGAAAAAATTGACTGTCACCACCAGGTCTCAAACCAGGGACCTTAGCTTGAGACTCACGATGCTCTAACCACTGACCTATGGCATGATGCTTATTATGTCTATGTTTGCTTCACTATACAAAAACAGGTGCCGTATTTTCCGGAGTAAAAGCCACACTGTAAGCACCAGTAATTCACCCCACAAAAGTCGGTTTGAGAGTGCTGAAATGTACGTCTTGACGTCACAGTGTGTGTGTGTGTGTACACACGTGCTAATGCATGTGTGTGTGTGGTTTTGTATATGTGTACGAATCCGACATTTAGCTCCAATTCTCTCCTGGACAAGATGAAGGCATGCTGGAGACAATGTCGGCGGCATTCATGCCAAACCGGTGGTCCATATGCTGCTTCACGCCCGTGCCCAACCCGGCGGCCAAGTCCTTGGTAGAGGCACAGCGGAGTCAGCGTCTGGAGGTCTGGTGTGGCTTGGACTGCGGCCGTATCATGGTGTTCGATGCCGACTGCGAGCGATGGGCGCAGGAAAAGCAAAGCCAGTCTGGCTATCAAGTGCCACCCTCGCCAACGCCAGAGTCTACTGAACCATCACCAGGTACATATACATGTGTTACGGATTTTATGGTGCTTCCAAGTTTGAGAATTTTATAGTATATTGGGGTAGTATGGAAGGGCAGGGGAGTGGGTACAGCGAAACCTGTCTAAGCCGACCGCTCAAGGGACCTGACAAATTTGGTCGCTCTGTACAGGTGGTCTCCTTACCCAGGGGCATTTGAATGGAAAAGACCTCCCCTGGTACTAGTTTTAGTGGTCCTCTGGGACAGGTGGTCGGTCGCCTTATCAGAGTGGTCGCTTCGACACGTTCAAAGCTAACTGTTTGTGTAATTATGAAAAGGTCTTTAATATTCTAGAGCAGATCAAACGTTTTAGGATGCACCAATGGGCTGATGGAAAATTTTCCACAAACAGGAGTTGTTTTCTTTTCCACATATTGTACGCAATGACTACATGTCATTTCTCCAATAGAGTCATGAATACTTGTTCTTCTGAAAGGGAACTTTGTCTTAGCAGTACTCTTCTTATTAAAGGGGTTCCGCTGTAGTTTGCAAAGGCTGTCATAATGGTTGCGGGGATTCAAGTGTAGGAGAAGAGAGATTGCGGAAGAGATGGAGTTAAGAAAACCATTCGACGAATATGTGTTTGTTGGTACAAGTCTCACTGGTGTACATGTGTCTGTCGTTCACACAGGTATCAGCCAAGAGGAAGAGGGACCCAGTCTGCTGCAGGAGAAGGAAAGTTTGCAACTGCCCTTCCACGACAATCAGCCATGCAGCTTTGTGTGTGTAACACAATTTCAAGAAGACCAGATATCCGGTAAGCATACTCGGAGTGCAATAAGACAAGATGTCTCAAACATTGTCAGAACAAGCAGTCAGAAAAGCCATGGGCACAAGAGGGTGGGCATACGGTGGGGGAACAACGGGGTGGGCACAAGGGGGGACCTTTCCCTCTATCTCTGCTGCGAGCAGCATTGGAAATACTGTTCAAGAGTCACTGCTTATGTAACTAAAATGTCAATCAGACAAAAAATGTTCTTGTTCTTGTGCATACTATAAGATCTGTGCAGTCACACCTCGCCTATCCGGATATTTTTTCGTGGAAAACGGATGTGTGAGGTTAAGCGAGGTCTGATTGTACCAGTAAGTGGTTTAGCGAGTTTGTGAAGACGAGAACATTGGTAGATGTCCAACAATAGGGCGATAGTGCAACGTCACAGCCCGTGGTAACGTTACTGATTGTTCAGTTTGTTTGTCACGAAGACGAAGAGCTTTGTGTCCCTGGAATCCGAGTGAAAGACCACTTCTTTAGTGTAATGTTAGCTTGGGATTTACTTCAGTGATTGTTCCCGACGGAAGGTGAATAGATATCGTTCAACGAAGACATGTGTCTAGTACACTCAGGCTGCGGAAAGTGCTCTATGCTCTGTGCAAAGTGCTCTATGCTCTGTGGACAGGACCAGTAATAGAGCAGTCACACTGCAGCGGCACAACAAGATGTCTCTTTGACCATAGACAGAGTTTCGGAGTAACAGCGACGAAGAACTTCGCTACCGGCACCGTTGCTGTGTGACTGTTATACGTTTCCAGAAGTACAGTTGTGCTCGGTGAAATCCGACCCGAAGTGCAAAGCTGACGCCTTGGACCAGTTCCGATTACTTCGAAGTACATCATCGTATTTGTACATGTGTACGTTCTGCAGCACTCCCAGGGCATCAAGGGCCGTGCAAGTTGAGGGCGCCACCGTGACGATATGCACTCTGGGTCGGATTTCACATAGGGCACATAACTGTACATTACGGATAAAATGTGCAAACTGTGCATTAACATGTATTTTATACTGAAAAAAATAATTATAAAATGTTGGCTTTTCTTACTGCATGCTGAAGGTGATGAAGGAGCACCCATGCTGCGAACCCGAGTATGGCTGGCTGTGCGACGCCGGTCGGTGGTGTCTTGCTGGACATACGGCAGTGTGTGCTGGTCGCCATTCGATATGAGCGTCTATTTGCGTTCGTCTGAAGGTACGCTGCATGTTATGTGCTGTGTGACTATCTATTACACTTGTTCACGATGCTATCAGAGCAGTGCAGATGTGGCTGAAGCAGGATATCTTCTCAATTCTACATTCTTTCAGCCATTACTAGTAGCAATGGACTGTGAGTAGCCAGTCGGCCAGTAGCCCTACTGACGGACGTACCGGCACGTGACTAAAATATTCTTTCCTGAGCGCTTCTGGGACTGATGCTCAGGATCCCCTGAAATGCCGTCCAGTGCATTCAAAGAGCCCCAAGGTCAAGATGTGCATACACTGGTAGCAACTGAAATCCGACCCCAGCTTGGTGCACTCGCATTGCAAAAACTCTGCACGCACTTGTATATGTAACACTACCAGAATGGAGACCACCAGAATCGGTGCTGCGCTCCAGCACGAAATCAGGGGTCAGACGACTCAGATTTCAGTTACCGCCACTGCACGTGGAGACGTTCAACAGCAATGCTGTACTGTATACTGGTGTGTTGTTTTGTGTTCCTTGATATGTTCAGTGTTTCAAGCTCGTGTGACGTGCATGACAACGTGGAAACACGAGGTGTATGTCGGCACAGGCAGTGGACACATTGTGATTCTGGACTCACGTCGTATGTATTGCACATCCTTCATGTCAATGCATGGTGGCCCAGTCAGGTGAGCAGACTGTGATTACACTAAAACCCAACAATCTCTTCCTTCTTCCTCTCTCTCTCTCTCTCTCTCTCTCTCTCTCTCTCTCTCTCTCTCTTTCTCTCTCCCTTCCTTTGCTACTCTACCTTCTCATATTGTGTTTATTTGCATGTAAAAGAGGCTAACTGCCACAGAAAAGAAGAAAGGAAAAGGGCTAGACTCTGATGTATAATAACTTAAATGTTGTTTCAATGATCAGAGTCTAGTTTTGCTCATGCTGTGTGTTTGGCTAACATAACCGTGGTGTTTAATGAACCCTTTGCCTGGACTTATGCTGGCATCTCATCGTTCGGATAATCAAGCTTTTGTTGAATTGCTTTAGCTATACTTAGCTGTGGGCTATTGGTCAACTGCTCTATACTGTCAAGTACATGCATCACCGGAGTGTAACCTAGTCCTGCAAACAGATATCATTTCCTGTTTCCCTTCTGCGTTTCTCTTCTAACAAACACAGACGTCTTCTCTCCCTGCCGCCATTGCAAACGTCACTGAATGCCAATGGTCTCAGCCCACCCAGAGCACCGACATCTGACACCAGTGCTGGCAACAGTGCTGCTGCCGCGTCTACTGCTGCTGGTGCTGGTGGTGCTGGCATGGATCAGGTCAACCTTCTGTCACGGTTCGACCCAGTTCGCCTGAGCGGCCCAGCCATGACCGGGCAGACGGCAGTCGATGTTTACCTGCACACGAACCAATTCAACAACGGGAGAGACTCGCCGCCCACAGTGGAGATTGCCCACCAAGCTCCTCTGTCACTCTCCCGGCAAAGCAGCTTGCGCGTCGGAAGCTATTCTTCAGATGAAGTTGCCTCTGCGTACCACGATCCATCACAGTCTCTTGGTGGCAAGCCAAGTCCTGCAACAGCTAGGAGAGGATCAGAAGGCGTCAGTGACGGGGGTGTTGTGCACACAGCGGCCAATGCCGTTCAGCCGTGCATTGATGCCAGCAAGCTGCACTTGATGTTCAGCTGCGGCGAGAAGCTAGTACCTACACCAAGTCCAACGGAAGGTGCAAGAGCCATGCGCCGTGCGCCAGTCTTCATGATGACATGGCTGGCCGGGCAATGGCATGATCAAGTCTAGTCACGGCTGACTAGCAATCAGACTGTAACAACTAAATGTATTCCAAGTGAGGCAAAAGCTATCAGGCAGGTGAGTATTACTATGTACATGTTGGTCGTCAAAACCTGGTGGCACTTGCCAGGCATTATTCCATGTACCAAGGCACCCCACTGACATTGCTTGTTCATGGCACTTTGCCTTGAACTGGGGGGGAATTCCCCATTGGAACTCCGACCGGCCTAAATTACTGTAGAGAATATTGTAGTGTGCGGAATGTTTTATATTTTGATTTTTTCCCCTGAAAACAGTACACAATCGTCACGTCTAGATTCTTGATGAATGATAGTGGGAGACTCTGGCTGGCCAGCACATGACCTCATAGATATTTTCTCATTCAGCTACACTTTGATGGAATTCTTTAGCACTGAACACTGTTTGGGGACATGTGGAGCCTTGCCGTGCGGATTTGATCCTCTTTGCTGAAGCATTCTGAGCAAACGTTTTCACGTGTTATCACAGACGTACTAGCTATTGTTGGATTAAATATTTTTTGAATATGGCCAAATTTGAAACCTTGAATTTCTAACTCGGATACTCGTTCCCATGTCACGTTTTTCTATTTTACCATGATTTGCAGTTTCCATTTCCTACAACTCACAGTCCTGTGCTCATACATGTGCCTACATGTATAGAGATATCTAGATACAGATCTGGCTTCAAATTGCATATGTATACTGGTTGGTTGGTTGGTTTATTTATTTAATTCGCACAATAAACGGGAACTGGGCCCAATGAGATAAAGGTGAATGGATACGCCGCATTTAGAAAAGAGAGGACAGGAATTTGAAAATTACGAAAGAAAAAGTATCTGACACAGGAGTCAAGCGAGTATCAGGGGTGACAGGGTGGTCGAGGAGAGCTAGGGGGCGGGCTAGTCTGAGCAACAATAAAAGGTAAGCAACTTATGCTAAACTTATTATGTCGCTAATAGTGAGATTGCATTATGGCAAGGAAATGTGAAGATTTGGATACCTGAAAAAGTACAGGTTCTTGGGTTTTACTAGTATGTGCCACAAGAATGATATTCTGCTCTACGTTCCCACAAACAGAAATCACATGATATGTACAAGGGAGTCGTGAAATACCCTCCCCAGTATGTAGTGAGCATTTCCCGTTCCAAACATGTCGCTTATCAGTCTATCTGACTGCTTGCTACAAAATTTGCGTGATACTCATCAGATCTGAACGCTATCTACTTTTGTCGTGTGCAACAATGTAGAACTGAGTCCTCATCTCACGGTGTGAAACATTCTGAACCTGAAGCATGCGAAGCCGTACTGAGGCCCTCACACAGCCACCTGTTCTTACTGTTATGCATGCATGCTTTCTCATCATATCAAGCAAAGCAGACCTTATCTAAATATCATAGGGAACATCTGCATCACTGCTGGGAGTCATTAAACTCTTTCAACCTGATGTAACGATATGCAATGCAAATGAATCGTGTTGTACACCAACAACTACATGATTGTATCAGTTATACTTATAGTCCATACCGTCACCATGGTCACGGTATGACCATGTCAGTGTCTGCTTTGACATCAGCCTAGCAAGGAAAATGTGGGAGGTGGAGGGGGGGGGGGGACATACTGTAGTCTCAGACTGACTGCTTCATTATTACTTGTACATGTAGGTGCATGTGACGTGCCATAGGCTATTACGGCATAGGGCCTACTATAGGGGAGTACCAATAAAAAGCATGATTCTATTGTAGTATTTACTGCAAGCCGAGATTGTTCAGGATTACACTTCGGAGCTTCGGCTTCGAATGTGACAGTGTGTTTGGCCTCAAATCGCTCTAGTTTTCCATAAATTTCCAGCGGTTTAAAGATAAAAATGCAAATGCACGCCTTGATTGCACCTAGCACCTCTTGCTTTCTTTGGCCTTTTCTTTCGCTTCTTTGCTGATAGGTTACCTTTTTCCTTTGTCTAGTATCCTTGAGACTCAGTAAGTCTTCTACTGCCGCTATGGCAGTGTCTATTGTGTAATAATGACTCCGAAGCTGAAGCTCGCAGTCCAGGCCTAGGACTAGTAAGAGTTCCTACCGGATCGACGTGCTGTCCGTGTAGGTAAGTGCTGAAGTAACTAGTTTGTGCCGATATGGAAATTTCGGCCTTTTCGGCGGCCAATGCTGATGGCGACGCTGCGATGGTCCCGTGGGTTTGCAAGCACCGACGAGTGCCTTGTTTCATGCCCCGAGTCACGATTTCCCTGTTGGGTCAGGGCGGCCTTCACGAGTTCGGCAGGCTCTTTCGAGTGCCTTGCCAAGGCTCTGCGCTTAGCGCGTAGCAACATCAACAGACGGCTTCCGTCACGTCATTGGGCAGGCCTTGACGAGTGCCTTGCCAATCTCGGTACCTACAAGTAACTGGTATCCAACCCCATCGATGGACGACGCGGATATGCGGCGGCTTCTGTCACGGCAGTGGGCAGGCCCTGTCGCGTGTCTTGCCACACTCAGACCATCCGTCCACTGTCGATGGACGACGGTCTCACCAGTGGGCAGGCCCTGTCGCGTGCCTTGCCACACTCTAGCCATCCATCCACTGTCGATGGACGATGGTCACACCACTGGGCAGGCCCTGTCGTGTGCCTTGCCGCACTCTAACCATACGTCAACCGTCCATGGACGATAGTCTACAGTGAGCAGGCCCTGTCGCGTGCCTTGCCACACTCTAGCCACTCTAACCATCCATCCACTGCGGATGGACGATGGTCGAACCAGTGGGCAGGCCCTGCCGCGTGCCTTGCTACACTCTAACCATCCGTCCACTGTCGATGGACGATGGTCTCTACAGTGGGCAGGCCCTGTCGCGTGCCTTGCCGCACTCTAACCACACTATCCATCCATCCATTATCCATGGACGATGGACTCGTAGATTTGCACGCACCAGCGAGTGCTTTGTTTCTTGCCCTGAGTCGTGCCTTCCTGGTGTGGTCAGGGCAATTTCATGAAAAGCAGGAGTGCCATTCCAATGTCTGTGCCTAACTCGCATTCACCCATGTCGGTGGACTGTGCGGTCATTGTAGATATGGTGGCTTCCGTCACGCCAGTGGGCAGGCCCTGTCGGGGGCCTTGCCACACTCTAACCATTAGTTCATTGGTGATGAACGATGGTCTCGTGGCTTTGCAAGCACCGGCGAGTGCTTTGTTTCATGCCCAGAGTCACGCCCATAACTTAATGCCGTTCTGCCATGCTCATATTGTTGTTTCGCAAGTACAGTTCTACCTGTGTTTGCTTGCTCCTATACCAAGCAGAATCCCGTATTGACCGGGAAATGTTCCTGCACCAAAGGGCTGTGGATCGAACGTGCATCCCTGTGTCAAGCGGAATAATGTCATATCAGACCAGTTTCCGCTGCACCACGGGCGTCCGGTTAAGGCAGGTTTACCTGTATGTAGATACATGGTTCTGGAAGCATGATCACGATGTCAGAGGTGGATGATGCACCTCTGTGAGCAATGAAAAATAAACATCAAATGGTTGCCATTTGTGCAGTGCCAACAATGTACTGCCACTCCTATTGCTCAAGCACCTTTTGTGATAGCAACCTCGAAGTGGTGAAGCATATAACACTTTTACTGTTGCCATACCTCAGTCTGACCTTAGGTGGCTGGAGCACATACGGACACGCGCGCTCCAGCTATCTGCTGAGCGTAGTGCCAAGAGTGCAATGTCATGTACACTTGCCTTTGTGTACGCTATGACTTGTGGTATACCATGGTATACTGCCTTCCACTACTCAAGTTAGTGCCCACCTCGGGCACCGCGAGGGACCACCCCCCTTCTTGGTCTGGCCAGCCAAGGCCTTGCACGATTACTGCCGCATCCATAACTGGGATCAATTCATTGCCCATCTGATATGTGCATATCATTGCGGCCCTTTCCGTACAACGGCAGGTCCAAGTAACCATATCTGTAATTTACTACTGTGGATAGCATTTCATCGTACGTATCCTGGAATATCTACGCACCCAGAAGGAATCTACTTATATTATAGCTAGCACCCATAGCTAGCAACCAGATCAGTCTCGTACTGTTTAGTACTGATATGGCGGATACGCCGGTACTGCATGCACGTGTGCCTTGTGCCCGACCCACCATGTACCAGGCTTTCGTTACCAACAAGGGCTTGGCAGACGAGCTGAAGCAGCTGGATGCATGTCGTGCCAATCCCGTACTGGTGCAGCCAATGGTCCACACTACCAGCCTGCTCGGCTGTCGGTGGCCTTTCACGGTGTGCCTTACTTGGTGCGCATACGAGTACATTTGCATAAATGTACTTCAAGTATAAAATATATACAGAACAGGTATATGCACAACAGGCACAAGGAGGTCTTAGAGTTTGTTGCAACTCTGAGTTCCTTACGCAATGAAATCATCACAGTGCTCCGCGTCGTGTTGAGCCCTCTACCCTCGAAAAGACGCCTCTTTGTAAACAAATATACAGTTATGTATATTGTATAGAAAACTGCTTTCCTAGCGCAGAAGGAAATCAGTGAATATGTGATGTCTTTGTGTTCTCACCGTGGAGGAAGAACTTGATGACCTACATGTACATTCACCCTAGTCTTGCCGTAGACGTCCTGTGCACTCCCAAGGTCCATGACCATGTTGTGCAATAGCTGAGTAAGCCATACATATACCTGAGATCTACGGATATAAACTATGTCCAGTTCAAATGACCATCCAAGCAGCCATTGGCTCCGCATCCTGCGTCATCTCTACCATCGCTGCGCACTTGAATATGACGATTATATCACCACAGGTCCCTGCAAGCTGGAGACCCGGTACGGCCACTGGCGATGTTGCCAGCCTCATGGAGCCAATGTGCTATTTGGCCATGCAGGACATGTGTCACTCGACCGGCATCCATCCGGAAGTGGCTGGCGGTACACATGTCTACCGTTCGGCATGTGTTATTCACTCCGCACATACACCAAGTGTCTGCATCGATCGTCTGCATTTTCCGGACATGGGCGGTGAAGGTAGTGATGTACATTGCCACCTGCCTCATTATTGTGTGCGGTCTGGTTGCGGCACACCATAGTGCAAGCAACGATCCGCCTCCTGGAGCATCTCGAGCTCCAAGTGAACCTGCACAAGTCCGGCTTGTAGCTGGTGCAGTCCGTGGAATGTATGAGGCTCACCATCTCTGCCATCACCAAGCCACTTGAGGCGCCTGAACGTGAAGCGTCCGGAATTGAGGAAGGCGTTCCCGCTAGCCCAGCTTCACAGTCGATCAATTCATTACAGAATATAGTGCTTGCAGGATAGAGCTCCACAGCCTGGGCTGTGCAACCTCGATATATGGTCTGGTGATTCAATTGACAAGTCTCCATTACTGGGTCTGTCACTTTTCAGTCGGGGATGGCCAGCCAGTCACCTCACAGGTGCCATCGCTGCGCTACGAGAGCCCGTCAGTTCAGGACCCATGCACAGCAGCCACCCATAACCACAGTCATGACTCTGCCGGAGTTAAACTCCATTCATCTACTGCTTGTGGGCGGAGTGCCTTGGTCTGCAAGCCCCAGTGCATGGCATAACGGGAGTACCTTTGCATGTCGAGATTGATCATGTGATGGCTGTTGCTTACGTATCCAAGGAAAGAAACATTGGATAACTATCTGTCTGTTAGCGCTACCAAGAGTACATAACTATTACTATTGGCGCGACCCCGTTGGCTCCACCTAGTCGCCGTCAATGTTCGGGACATCGTCCACGACCCAAACGACCGTCACGGTCTGCAGACAGCGGCAACTACCTGTTGGACAGGTAGGTCCTTACAAAGTTACATCATTGGTACAGCCCACTTGCCCTATTTGTGGACAGCCATACCCGCTAACTGGATCAGTATGTGAGTTAGCGCTCAGATCCTGAGGCCGAGGGCCAGGCTTCCTTGGTCCTTCCGGCAGACCAGACCAGTGGGAGAATGCACTTCTGCACCCTCCATTCTCCCTCATCCTGATGGTTAGTGCTATTCACCACATATAGCAAGTGCTTTTGGTGGGTCCGGTCTGGAGTTCATCGCAGTCGGACCAACTCCTTAGCCACCCAGTGCGATGTAGGGAGGCAGTATGGACCAATTACCAATGCATCTTTCTCCTCTCTCGTCGACACTCCAGCTACGTGTTCAGGGCCTCTTGGAGTATTGGTCAGGCTGATGTAGCGACCACCCATTTGATGCCCGATGTCTATTACTGCTGGCCTGCCAGCACATGGAGTGTCATCAATGTTCGGGAGGTTCTGCAGGCTTGGGGACCCAATCCCAATTGCCTCGGAAACGTCTGACGCGGCACGTTCTCATGTAGATGGTTTTGACTCAGGCTCCCCGTTCACCTCGGAGCTTCACAGTCTGTCCGTATTCCACTGCCATCAACTCCCGAAGGTACGTGTTGTGTTCGCCCTTGCCTTCGTCAGCAAGACGAATGTCTAGGGTTCCAGATCTAAGACCTTCCTGGTTTGCAAGGGACAAACTTCTTTGTCCACATTCCTGGCTCGAGGAGTACTGTGACATTCCATATTTTGACACAGCCTCGCCATGGTGTCGCAGTATTATTATCTGTGTCCGGTGCTAGTCGTTTTTAATAATAGACTGTCACCCTTTTCTCCCTTCATGTCTCCGAGTTGAAGGGCACCTGTACATATGGTGTATCCTCGATACATAGAGACATTTTTACTGTATATCAGGCACTCTGCGTGATGCCTGTTCCTTCACTCCACATGCGCACTTCTCCTTCGCGCATAATGCTTGGCTACGCCCTTGCCTTGGTTGAGGTGGTGGATCACTTTAAAAGTCACACTGTCACATTCGAAGCCGAAGCTCCGAAGTGTAATCGTAGATTCCGCTAGGACCCGCAGGGTCCGACGTGGAATCGGGGTTACACGAGGAGTGAAGGCGAAGAATGTGACAGTGTGTTCCCGCCCATTGTGCTGGTGTCGCCCACCCCTCACTGTCACTACTCTTGATTGCACTATCATTTTGGTCGCTCAGAAAAGGCCAAAGAAAGCAAGAGGTGCTAGGTGCAATCAAGGCGTGCATTTGCATTTTTATCTTTAAACCGCTGGAAATTTATGGAAAACTAGAGCGATTTGAGGCCAAACACACTGTCACATTCTTCGCCTTCACTCCTCGTGTAACCCCGATTCCACGTCGGACCCTGCGGGTCCTAGCGGAATCTACGATTGTTCAGGAACGCTTACCTGTTGCATTAATGGTCCGTTCCGGTCCTAAGTCATACAAAGGACATACTTCCGCGTTCCGGACGAAACCACTTGATTTCTGCAGTCACGACCAGGATCAAACGTCCGTCCCATCTTCACACCATGTAGATCATGCAGACCTACCAGTACCAGAGCTGTGAAAACCCTTGCTTGCACCAGCACACCAGTCACCATACAGATAAGAGATCTGAGTGGCACCAGTGTAGACTGCAGTGCGATAGTGCTAGTCACTAAATGCATTGACCAGTGGCAGTACCAGGCAGTGAGCTGACACCGCTGAGGCACGCCGCTGCACTTCGGACAGTGTCCAAACAACTCGCTGTACTTACCAAACCACTCGACTCGTTCCTGGTGTCGGTGCATCCGGGCCATCCCATAGTTGGTTTCCTCTGCTTCATATCAAACACGAGAGAAAGAGTCACACTCCTGTTGTGTTCAGTTTGGAGAGGTATGCCATAGCTGTCAGGCCCTGGCTGGATTTTACTTTCAAACTTGAGGCTTCGATTTCCACCACCCACACCGTCACACCCACAGCAAGAGCTACACTTCCTCTTGTACCAAGACTGGCAAGAGTAAAACAATAAGATCCCAGGGAGATTACTCTTGTGCGTAGATCTACATGTTGATCTTCTCAGTTTGTTTTTGACACTGTTATTGCATGGCCTCTACACGGCTCTATCAACGCTTTCAGTCTTGCACCATCAGCCGTGACAGCCACCGACCGTAAAGACTACCAAGTAGATCGTACATACTGACGGGCCTGAAGATCCACCATCCCCCGCTGGCTGGCAAAGGCTTAGAAATCAGCGTGTGAAGAAGAACTTACTTATCTTTCCTTTGTTGAAATCCCCGGACATGACAGTTTGCACTGGACACTGCACAACTCACGGATTACAGACGAAGTGACGGTAGACCTGGTACTGCACTGCATGCATGATAATGATGCACTGGGCCATTGCATGATTGATGGGCCCAGATGTAGCAACTACTTGAAGCACCCACGTGTCGTGAGTCAGCACACATTTTGGCCTTGGCAGTTGCACCGAGCGACATGACGCGACGGTCAGTTCGACCTCCATCTGATTTTCCTGACTTGCTTCACGTCAGATTGAGCAACGACGCTCTGCGCGAGGGAATGAATCTTGGTTACATGACTAGTCTATTTTATTGTACTACTCGCTGAAGCTCCCTGGTCCGCCTAGCGCCTGCTCTTTTACTTGATCAACTGGACGTCGACGGGATTCTGAATCAGTGGATTATCGTAGAGTCCGTCACTGCACCGGTGTCACTCCAGAGTCCAGGCACGTGCATGACTGACCTTGTCTTCCTCGTGTAGGGGATCAGAGTCGAGCCAAGAAGGGTTTCCCATTCCTTTGTTTGAATAAAATTCGGTGGCCGTGTAGTGCAGTGGCCTTGCATTGTTCTCCGTCGTCGAGTTGTGAGTTCTTGATCATATGCACCCGACGTTCCACCTATCGTAAAACTATTTCCGAAGGCTTTCCGAAGAAGACACTGGCGAGAAGCGCACACAGCAGCATTTTGAACACCACCTGCCAGTACCACGACTCAACACGAGCCCATCATCAGCTGACTTCAAGTTCAAACACTGCAAGGATCTAGGAAGCGGACGGACGTAACGTCGTTACGTGACGCTACGTGGGCTGATCAAGATCGATCGGGATCTTTGAGTTTGATTTTGCAGTTTGTGTGAGTATCGTACAAACTACAACACTGTACATCATTCAAAGCTACAACTGGCCGGCCATCAAACTGCTGAAGCTTCAATATCCAGTGTGGCATTAATTTTCAATTTTCAGTCAAAAACAGAGACGTCCCTTGGCCTTGCTGCCACACTTTGTCACAATGTCGAGCGATCTTCGGGGTGCTGCTGTGTCCGAGGCAGCCAACTGGGGCCCAATGGTTGGATCAGCCGGCACCGCACCCCGGCTTACTCAAGCGCAAACCCAACCGGTGAGTAAAATTTGTGGTGACTTGAAAAATTCTCATCAGGTGTCTGAGCGAGCCGGCCTCTGATGCACTTGTTTGTTCCTGGAATCTTGCATCACGCCAACATCAATATTCAATTTTATATGAATGTCTTCCTTCCGTGGCGTGATTCCCTGCGGGCGAACTGTGTATTCGATTGCGTTGTTTCACTTCTCGACACAATATTAATTGTGTACTCTATCGAGTTTTTTTTGTTACCCTTGTGAGTGTCACATGTATTGACAGGCAGAAGAAGTGAGCAGCCTATGCTGTAATGACTGTGCAATCGATGTACTAGTTCTTCCATTACATGACATGTCGCTTGAACTAGAACTAATACTTAGTACTAGTAGAAGTAGAAGTATGTCCTGGGGAAAGAAAAAACATGAAATTTCGAAATGTCATGTGCTAGCTTATGCAATACAACCAGCAATCTTGCAGGCGTCAACAAACACAACACGCATGAATGTACTGTATTTGCCGGAGTATGGCGCGCACCTAGGTATAATGCGAAACCAGGTCTGATTGCAGGTCATGGTGAAAATGTTACCCCTTACTTTCGAAACTACGTTCAAATACTCTGTGTGCGTGTGTGTGTGTGTGTGTGTGTGTGCCTGTGTGTGCCTGTGTCTGTGTGTGTGTTTGGTGTGTGTCTGTGTTCGGTGTGTGTCTGTGTGTCGGTCTGCCTGTCTGTGTGTACTCTGTGTGTGTGTGTGTGTGCGTGTGCGTGTGTGTGTGCGTGCGTGTGTGCGTGCGTGTGTGCGTGCGTGTGTGTGTGTGTGTGTGTGTGTCTACTCTCTGCGTGTACTCTCTGTGTGCCGGTGCTGTACTTTGCTGCTGCTGCAGGTGATATGTGATGACTACGAGTCACTACCGACTAACAGTGTTGTCATACACATGACTGCCGGTGCGTTTGCAGGTGTTGCCGAGCACACTGTCATGTATCCATTGGACTGCATAAAGGTAAGATCTACGCGGCAAGTACAGTCGCCGCCGAAACAATCCGGCCAATGCAGCTGTATGGCACATCATCATGATCATGGGTCGGCTGCGTGCACTAGCACCACTAACCACTAGACTACTGGCAGTGCACTGGACATGTAATGACTAGTCTATGCCCTGCTGCAGGGCCTGCTTGCATACACTCAGTACAGTGCTCGACTGCAGACTGTTCAGTGCGGTGCTGATACAGACTGCATGCATGCCAGCGACTGTGCAGGTGAACGCGTACCACTGTACCCATGGTATAGGCATCGGCCACATTGTACGACTGTATGAACTTGCCTGAGAGAATACTGTATAAGAAGTCTTATTTTCACGAATTCGTTAGGAACATGCTTTTGTTGATTTCACACCAGAAACGGAGAGCGCACTAAGTCATATCCCTGCTCCACCTTAGCTGGGATCAATTGTTTGTTTGCTTCTCTCACCTAACGAGAAAATTAGCAAACGTTCATTCCAGATGTGTTCTTGAGAGAGAGAGAGAGAGAGAGAGAGAGAGAGAGAGAGAGAGAGAGAGAGAGAGAGAGAGAGAGAGAGAGAGAGAGAGAGAGAGAGAGAGAGAGAGAGAGAGAGAGAGAGAGAGAGTATGATTGTGTATGTGTGTCTGTGTGCGAGCGCTTGCCTGCGTGTACATGTGTACGTAGTTTGCTTCAGCACATGATTGTATTTGCTCCTGTTCCTCCAATGCTCTCTGTTCAGACTCGCATGCAGAGTATGGTCGTCACACCGCAGCACCATGGCATCATACGTATGTTCCAGCACATGGTAGCCAAGGAAGGTATCCGTGCGCCATTCCGCGGCATCGGTGTAGTAATGTGCGGCGCAGGGCCGGCGCATGCACTCTATTTCGCTTCCTACGAGAAGTTAAAAGGAATGTTTGAGGACCAGACTGCATACAAGTCGCTAGTACATGGTATGTTGACGACGTCCTCATGTGCAGTTTTAGGTTGTGTTTGGTTGGGCAATTTCAGAATGTGAATGACAACCATTCTGGAATGAGAATGTGTGAAAATCACCTGATCAAACTGTGGAACGTGACCAACCAAACACAACCTTAAAGTGTTGTAATGTAACTATGCTGAAACTGGGGTTTGGGTGAGCAGGTACTAGTAGCCTCTGCTGTGCATCAGAAGACTGCATGGATGGACTGAAGTCCTTGGCTGAGCACTTGCATGTGAAAATGAGCATCACCTATTGAATACAGTGGAGGAGAAGTCTGTGTCTCTGTCTGATCGAATCTCAGAAAGCTCATTCTCGTTTCTCATGAACTGAAATCACTCCATTTCGCAACGAGTGCCTGGTCAGTTTTTTCTGTGGACTTGACTACATATTGGAGTCAGGGGGCATCTAATTTGAATTCTGACTTGTGACTGTTCCTGATGTTGCCTGTCCTGCTTATTCACAGGAGCGTCGGGCGCGGTTGCTACGTTGCTTCACGATGCGTTCATGAACCCTGTGGACGGTAAAGTAGTTAAAATCTGTGTATTGTGCTGTATGGTGTTAAATCACACATGCGTCGCACTGAGTGTCGCCCACCTATTCTATGATACCACATTCTTGTATGCTCAGCCACACTTTTCCTGCTGTGCATGTCACATTTGCAGTTTCTAGCATACCTCCCCTAACGTCCTCCATTGAGTCTGCTATGCATACCTCCCCAGTATATTCCTAGGTACTCCAAGCATCAACTATAGTGTCTGATGATTGGCTGAATTGCCATGAAACTCGGCATTACGACAAAACACAAGTTCCCCACCGTTGTGAACTTGTGGTGTATGATGTGTGGAGTGGACGTATTTGTTGATGCACGGCTGGTGTGCTAACTGTTAGCTGGTGACTTTTAATGACAATCTACCATCATGACTTGATTGTATTGTCTGCTCGTTGCGGTGTGTGTGTGTGTGTGTGTGTGTGTGTGTGTGTGTGTGTGTGTGTGTGTGTGTGGTGTGTGTGTGTGTGTGTGTGTGTGTGTGTGTGGTGTGTGTGTGTGTGTGTGTGTGTGTGTGTGTGTGTGTGTGTGTGTGTGTGTGTGTGTGTGTGTGTGTGTGTGTGTGCAGTCGTCAAGCAACGTCTGCAGATGCACAGCAGTCCATACAGCAATGCGGGAGACTGCGCCAGGCGCATTCTCCAGAAAGAAGGCTTCCGCGCGTTCTACCGCAGCTACTCCACGCAGCTGACGATGAACATCCCGTTCCAGAGTACTAACTTCATGGTGTATGAGGCCGTGCGTAGTCGCATGAACCCAGAAGGCTACTACAACCCACAGGTAGGAAACGCTGTGTTGTGTGGAGCAGAGACTGTGAGGGAGAGCTAGAGAAGCAGGCATGCTATGAAACTGATTGATCAATGGAGACTTTCCCGAGTAGTGCATTTTGTGAGATTGGTTGCCGGCCGCTGACTACTTGTAAACCCGAGGATAGACTGATGTGCGTGCGTGTGTGTGTGTGCATGTGTGTGTGCATGTGTGTGTGCACTTCAATCAACTGTGTGGTGTAGACCAAGCTGTTGAATGGTGTAATCCCATCACAAGCTCGCTTCTGCGATGGGCATGTCTGAGTGAGAGAGAGAGAGAGACAGAGAGAGAGAGAGAGAGAGAGAGCTCACTTTTAAAAGATTGTGTCTGGAATTATTTAGACCATTCTGTGGCGTGGTGGTGTGGCTTGCGTTGCACCGTCATGTCCTGTGCACCCATACCTGCATGCATTGCTGCTGTTGTTGTTTTCCCCTACCAGGTACACATGTTGGCTGGCGGTTTA